TGCAGCTAACGCATTCAGTACTTAGGATGTACCATGGACTGTTCTTCTCCACTACTTCACTGGCTTCGTGGCCCTGGGAAAGTTGCATGTTCGGGTTCAGTTGCTTCCATAAAATGGAGATAGGGTGATGTCTACCTCCAGGGGAATGTTGTTAGGATTAGATTAGACATGTAAAACACTGAGCACCCCGCTTGGCAGGGAATAAACACTGCAGCGTTAGTGCCCCCTTCATTGTTTCTGCTGTTGTTACTATTATTAAAATTCCTTTCCCTTGAACTTCCCATGTTTCTGCAACACTATATATAAAGCATGTGTTACATATAACTTGATTTTCCTTTTAACTCTCATTATATATTTTTATATTTTTAAAAGAGATATAATTTGGATATAGTGAAATGCACAGATCTTAAGTGTTGAGTTCACTAAGTATTGACAAATGCACACATCCATTTGACCTACACCCTATCAAGATGCAAACATTCTCATCATATCAAAATGTTATCTTGTGCTCCTTTCTGGTCAGTTGTCCCCCTTATACCCAGAGGCAACCACTGTTCTGATTTTTTTCACCATATATTAGTTTTGCTCATTAGCACAGTCATACAGAATGTATTCTTTTATGTCTGGCTTTTTATTGTTCAGTGTAACGATTTTCAGGTTCATCTTTGTCATTGTATGTATCAGTAATTTGCTCCTTTTTATTGCTGAAGAGTATTCCACTGTATGAATGCCCCACATTTTATTTATCTGTTCTTCTATTGATTGATATTTGATTGTTTCCAGCTTGGGGCTATTATGAATAAAGCTGCTGTGGTCAATTTTGTAAAATTCTTTTTGTGACTATGTATTTATTTCTTTTGAATAAATACTTAGAAGTGGAAAAGCAGCTAGGCATTTTTCTAACTTTATGAGAAATTTCCAGATTAATTTCCAAAGTAGTTACACCATTTATACTCCTACCAGCAATATGTGAGTGTTCTAGTTGCTCCATATCCTAATTGACAACATTTGGTGTTGTCAGTCTTTCATTTTCATCTTTCTAGTGGTGGTATAGTGGTATCTTATTATCGTTTTAATTTACATCTCCCTGATCACTAATGAGCACTTTTTCATGTGCTTTTGGGCCATTCATATCTTATCTTTAGGTCTGTGATCCATCGCTGTTTCTTGTGCATGGTATGAGGTAGGTGTTGACTCTCATTATATTTTAAGAGAAGTATGGTCTCCTGAATAAAAGAGATTAGGATCTAATGCATCATTAAAATTATACTATAAAACTCTTAATTGATGTTCAGACCATTAATTTGTTCTGTGCTTGTTGAATCCCTTTACACATTTTTCTGCCCCGCCTGAAAAAGTTATTTATGTAGAACCAGTCCAGAATGTATATGTAACTTGTTTCAACCATATACATTTGAAAAAAAAAAAAAGACAAAAACCCTCAACATCTTTATTTCAATTTCATTAGGAGTCTTTGGAAGACTCTTTTGAATTTGAATGTTGAAGTAGCTACATTATGCTGTTTACTCATATTCTTATTCTATCAACAAGCAGCCTACAAGCTGGAAGTACCACACTTGTAGCTATTTGTCCTAAACTTACCATTTTAGTCTTCAAAAAGAATTTAGTAGTACACTAGTCAAATAATAATAAATTAGCATCTATCCTTACATAAATAATTGCTTTTATAAATATCCGTGGCTGCAAACTCATTCCAAAGAGAATCTTTGAAGTTCATTCTACATCAATCAGCCTCCAAGATGGCCCCCAATGATACCACCTCCTGATACTCATACCTTTATGTAGTCCCCGCCCTGTATAAATTGATATTACCTTAAGTGATTATACTAAGTAAATCATCAATTTTACTAATAGCAAAATAAAATATTGCCCTCACTAGAATGATGAGAGTAAGGAGAGGCTGAGACATCAGGAAAGAGCCTGGAAAGTAAACATCTGTTAAGTGTCTTGGGCTGAAGGCAAAATATAGGCTATAGGAAGAAGCAAAGTGTAGGAGAACCGCTTCCTCCTTCAAGTCACTTACAATCTAGGCAGGAAGAAAAATGAAAGTAGGAAATGTTTAATCATAATGCAAGAGAAATCCCAAATTACATAAAATGTCACATAGCAGGATTAATTGCTAAATGAATAGACACTGTTATTGGTTATCCAGGTTCCCGATACGTGTTTAGTGATATATTACTTTGTAGTTATTTGAGAATTGGTGAATTTTGTTTTGCTTTTAAAGATTTCCTGACCTAGTCCAGTTTTATAGGATCTTAAATCTGCAGGGGTGGGTTTAGTCATTGGGTCTAAAATAAAGGAAAACCTATATTCTATATTCTAAACTTGGTTATTGAAAAAATTAATTCATATTTATAGTACCTACTATGTCAGGTGCTGTAGGAAGCATTTTACATTACTCATTTAATTTTTATAAAAAACCTATGGGTAGATTATTATCCGCATTTTCCAGATGAGGAATCTGAGGCACAGAGAAGTTAAGGGAATTTCTACAGGTAGAAAGTAGTAGAGCCAAGATACAATTCTGTTAGACTTTAGAGACAAAAGGTATTAAAGAAAATAAATGTATAGAAAAGGCTAGATTTGAGAATACAGCATTTATGGTTAAGTGGAAGTAGCACTGGGTTTTCAATAATACATTAGAAATAATTTTTAAATCATGAAAATTTTCTCTCTTTACTGCTATGTTAAATTTTGTACCATTTTCCAAAAATTAAAGTTTAATTCAAATGAGGGTAAATGCTTTTTAATCAATATTGTCAAACACTAAAATCCAGTTTTCTCTCGGCAAGTGAAAAGGAATTTGCAGAACAAAGGGTATACTTGTAGTGCTGTTATCGTCTTTATCCAGAATGATTGCTTTATTTCCAGTTGCTCAGGCAGCTATTTATAGTTTATCAGGGACTCCAGAGTTGAAATTATTTGAAGATTAATAGACTCAACTTGTGTATGAAAAGGATTCCTTTTAACATGCTTTTGGTGACATTGACAAAAATCATCTTGGAATTATGTTCTTTTATCTTTCTGATCCCTGGCATTGAGGTACTCAGGCATTTTTAAAGGCACAATGTTTATATTGCTGATTACTTTTTAAAGTATCACTTCAAAATTGGCAATAAATGGCAAAGATGCATCTTAATCCAGTTATGTTACCAGCCTGAGTCTTCAAAATAAAACCTTATATTTGAATATAAACCCCCAATTAAATGGGCCTTAAAGAAACTTTTAGATTTGGAACCACTTTTCATGTTGGTGATTATCATCCAAAGAATAAAGAGATTGATTTCCTTTTTTAAGATTGGAATATACATATATACATACATATATAAATGTGTTATAATGATATCTTTCATACATGTATATGTAATAGTACACGTAATAATGTAAGTAACATTGGGGAGGGAAGAGAAGGTGACTGCTGCTTCTTTCTTTTTGAAGTCTGTCATAGCAAAGCTGAAATTTTTGGAGAGCAAGCATGGCAAACTCCAACGACATTATGTGATTTTATTTTGAGCTTTCAGTAGTGGTATGTTTCATTCATCCTGTGACAGTAAAAACAAATGAGTAATAGATGACTAGTATGTTTTGTCTGCTGTAGTAATACCCTCTATCATTGAATCCGTCCAAGTAGCCAATTATTTTCCTGTTGTCTGAAATTAAAAGCATCATGTTTTCTGACAGTGTGGGAATTTCTGTTCAGTTAAAATATATGTTGTCATTGAAGTAAAATAATGAAATTGCAAGAAATTCATTGAGTTTTAGCTGTATTACTGAACTCTTCCCCCAAAAAGTCAAATCCAGATCATTTAAATTTTCTTATAAATAGCTGAAATATCATTAAACTATTAAAACTCAGCCTTGACAGTTTTTAGTGTGGGTGCTTAGTCTCTAAATTTTGGCCTGAGGTGTAAATGATAGTGGTAGCATTATCTGGTCACTCACCTTGTGGTGACCAGCCTCCAAGATGGCCCCCAATGATACCACCTCCTGATACTCATACCTTTATGTAGTCCCCGCCCTCATTTACTGGCATTGGTCAATAAAATACACGTGACCAATAGAATACATCAGAAGTGATGGCATGTCACTTCTGAGGTTAGGTTGTAAAAGACACTGGGACTTCCATCTTGTTATGTGTGTGTGTGTCTCTCTCTCTGTCTCTCTCACATTACTTGCTCTGTGGGAAGCCAGCACATGCAAGGAACCAAGGCTAATGCCAAAAGCCATGTGAATAAGCTTGGAAATGGATCCACAGCCCTAGTCGTGCCTTCAGATGACTGCAGCCCTGGCCAACAGCTTGACTGCAACCTCATGATACACTGAGCTAAAACCATCTAGTTCAGCCCCTCCCAGATTCCTGACCCTCAGAAACTATGTGCAATAAAAAATGTTTACTAAATTTTAGTGTAATTTGTTATTCAGGAATAGATAACCAGTACTCACCTCCACTAAAATTCTTCTTCCATTCTTCAAATCTTAACATCTACTCTTGGTTATTGTTGTTGTTATTTGTGCTTTTAAATCTGTAATCCATACAATGCGCCTGACTGAGGCATTAAGTTGGTTGAAAAATACCATATACCATCTCTCATTTTCCTATCCAGTATTTGGTATAATAAATAAAGACTTCAAATTCACTTTTCCCATATTTGGGTCTCATATTAGAAGGCACTTAAATTGTTTTGTGACAAGGAGTCTTTTTTAGATCATTCCACAGATTCTTTTCATTTATGTGCAAAGCCACCAGTTTTGTGTAACTTGTAATTACTATGCAAGTGATTATGGAATTACTATGAAGTACTTCAAGAGAAAACAGACAGCCTAACAACTGTTCTCAGAGAAGTCTGAGACCTCACCAAAGAAGCTCCTCATCTATTACTCGTAACTCTGTGATGCTTATTAATTATATAGGATAATAACAGTGTAGGTTTTAAAAAGTCATATTTTTAAGGATTAGTTAACTATATACTCAAACCTGAGAGACAGCTCAGCAGGTCTAATGTCAAGGTCATGAATTGTACTGCCAGCTCCTGCTCTCCCGTCCTGCTTTCTCCATGGTGTTCTGAAAAGGAAAAGGTCATAAAAATAATTCAGGTTTACTTTTTCCTTTTTGCCTACTCAACTAGTTTCGGTACTAATAATCATTCCATTACCACAGCTAATCCTACAGAAATGGTAACCTTGAATAAAAAATGTGAAAGAAAAGTGGAATTTCAACTTCTTAAGGAGTTTTTTTTTCGCTTGCTTGCTTTGTCTAAGTGTTTTTCTAAACATAGATTTGCCTTAGGACATTAATAGCTATACTTTCATTGAATCCTGGGTTATCAATCATATGTTTTTCTACCTGAACTTAAAAGAAATAGATGTTCTTGGTGAAAGGAAAATATTGATGAGTCCCATGTTTGACACTATTGCTTTTAAAAGTGTAACTAAAGACTAGCTTTTTGTTTTACTCTCACCATGATTTTAAAAATAATACAAATAGCCAGTTCTGGAATTGGTCTTTTCTTTCTTCATCTGAAATGGATTAGAGATTATTTTGAAATTTTTTTTGAGAATTTCCTTTTCAATCTGGAACTGAAAAAAATACGATTCTGTCTTGGATTCTGTCTTTCAAATCTTCCTCCCTTTAATTCTCACATGCTCACATGTGTCCACACACATATACACATACTTGTAATAAGGCTAGGAAGATGGTTACCAATAACTTAAAGGAACAAATGGATTTTGGTTTTCATATTTCCAGTATACAAATATCATCCAAATACTCCAATAATGTCATCACTTAAAATGGTTATAGTCAAGCCAGAAGTAAAACCCAGGGCTTCTAACTCTGCTTTGAACATTCGCCAACCGATACCAACACCACTTTGTAGTATAAGGCTAAGTGATCCCTGGGTCTTCAACTTGGACAGTCTAATGAAGATGGGGCACCAAATGTCAGCACCAAACATACTTCTGTGTTAAAGAAACCCCATGTTTGCTTTATTTTCTTGAGGGTTTTTTTTTTTTAAGCATAGCCATTGAATTGTGAATTTTCCTTTCTTGTCAAATAACCATTTGTGGATGGTGGTGGTAAGACAACATAGCTCCTGGTGAAATAATTTTTAAAGATTGATAAATGATAGTAGTTTTCGTAACTAGATTTCATTTGAAAGCTTAAATTTTATAGCACTTTGCTGTGGTTTTTGATAAATTCTCCTCAACCATGTATTAACACTTCATTTTATTAAGTATTATTATAAAACGTCTCAGGAAACTTTTTAATGTCTGTGTGATAAAGTAATTGATACTGTCACTCTGTTCATCTGCACGAAATATACCATGCTCATATGAAGCAATACTTCAAGTCCTTAGAAGATAGAAGCCTAAGAATATCTCTCCACTTGCCTCCTGACCCTTAGATCCGCCTTGGCACCCAGGCCCAAAGCCCTCCAAGCACCAGTCTGCACTCCCTGCTCTCTCACCCCACAGCTCACATGCCCTGAAGGGGACAGAAAGGAGGAGGGAAGACAGCACCCTAACAAAGACTAGAAGAGGGGGTGGAATTTGGCAGCAAGTAGAAGGGATTTTTGTCTGGACCTCTAGTTGTAAGTGCCTCTGCCCTCTTGACCAACCAACAACTGAGGGAAGTTCTGTATGTACAAATCACAAATAGTCCTAGATTAGAATGTGAAACTAGTTCTAGCATCCTTTACTTATCTACAGCCACCTTGTTGGGTCTTTAAATATGTAAACTTATAACATTATCATGCTTACCATATTTTAGAAATGCAAATACCGTAACAGAACGAACAGAGAAGATATACCTGTTGGTAATATAAGCGTTCGTAAGCAGAGGCAGTAAGCATAGTGGTTAAGGACACAGATTTCCGAGCCAGGCTGCCTGGGTTCAAACCCCAGTTCTGAACACTTGTAGATAAGTAACCTGGAACGAGTTACTGACCTCTCTGTGAGAGTTTTCTCATCTGCAAAGTAGAGATTGTAGCACTACTTTATAGGATTGTAAAATTTAAATGAGTTAATCTGGATATAAATGCTTAGAACAATAGTTAGCTCTATACCAGTGTTTGTTCTCATTAATGTTATTACTATACTAGGGCCTCTTTCTCATGTTGTTTCTATATGTAGATGGCCCAGTCTTATTTGTAGTCAGCAGATTGCATTCAAACTAACACCACCACCTTTAATGTAGCAGATCTCCCTCCTGAATAGTTTTTAAAAGCAAAATGCTTATTTTTTTTTTCTTTCCCAGGCCCAACACAGAGATACTTTCATTGAAGAACGCTATGGAAAATATAACATCAGTGATCCTTTAATGGCTCTACAGAGAGACTTTGAAACACTGAAGGAGAAAAATGATGGCGAGAAACAGCCGGTCTGCACAAACCCACTCTCCATTCTTAAGGTGGTGATGAAGCAGTGCAAGAACATGCAGGAGCGCATGCTGTCCCAGCTGGCTGCTGCTGAGAGCAGGCACCGGAAGGTGGGTGCGCCCGGTTGCCTTGTGCTACATAAACTCTTGTGAAGACTTTATAAATAGTGCCTGATACTTTCTTGTGGACTGCCAGTTTTCACAGTAATTCAATTGGGAGGTCTCACAGGTGTCAAAAAGCCCGTTAGCTTACCCGGCAGCCAGAAGATAGAAAAGAAAACACAGGTTATTCCAGATGTTAAATTTAGGGAGTGTGCCAGATTCATTATTTGAGATGGCATTCCTTCTTGATACGACACTCCAAAACTCTTGGTATGTTTTTTCAGCTCTTGATCATCCAAACTTTGGCAACAAACTGGGGTTTGACCAAGCTTGTAGCTGAACGGAACGTTCTTTATTTGCTTACTTAAGTGATAAATAGAAAGATTTACAGGTATTTGGGGAATGCTATGTCTAAAAGAGAGACAGAGAGAATTTACCTGACTATAAACATACAAGCCAATAGATTGTCTTCATTTATTCCTTGTTTTGAGTTTCATTGCATTTTATTTCTCATGAAACCATAAACACTTCCTGGGGTTGTTTACCTTAAAGCTGTTCTACCCCATTAGGAAAGTGTGTGTATGTCTGTGTTTGGTTCAGGTCTTCCAGCCTCTAGTGAGGAAGGCAAACCTGTGCTTTCCTCCACCTCGTCTCATTGGAATTCTAGTGCTTGTGATTTTATTCCCCAACTTGTCATTTACTCCTCAAATTTGCCTTGTAAGAGATGGTTGGCTGGAATCTGCACTTTTTAAAACTATTGGTTTACATTTATACTAACAAGGGGAAACATCAGTGCATTTAGTAGGAAGCATTTTATTCTGAAAAATTGGGTTAGCAGCTCCAGTGTGACGGGCCTTCGTTTCCTTTTACACTTAACCTGCATTAGAGAGCCAGCCATCTGCTTCAAACGCAGCTGACAAACTGCTCAGGCTTAAGTTCCACCCATGACTTTTCTTTTCCTTCCCAGAGTCCAAAGGAAAGGCCAGAGTGGAGGTTCTTAACCATGGATGGGCCTCAGATGTTCCCTGATCCCCCAGAAAATACATAGAATGCCAAAAGTTTATGCATTTTTGTAGAATATGAATTTTTTCCTATAACTTTAATTGAATTCTCAAGGTTGTCCAAGACTCAGGAAAGTTTAACCTCTGGTCTAGAATGAAATAATCTGAAGGCATTTATGCTCCAATTTAAAAAGTGTCAATACACTTGAGTTAGTTGCCTAAATTTTGGGGACTTTTACATAATCCTCTAAGAAAATCTTCCCAACATCCTTGCTTGATAGGCCTCTTTTCCACTTCATCCATGAAGCAATAGTGCTGTGCGGAAGGGCTGGCTGGCTGTCATGCCCATGAAGGTGTAGTATTGGGATGGTTTGTGGCTCTAGATGACTGGGAAGAGGAAGAGGTTAAAATATTTAAAAATTTCTTAATATTAGATTTCAATGTAAGATTCTTTAAGTGAGTGTTAAATATTTTAAATCAACTTAAGTGTTTTATCAAAGTAGAACACTGACTTTGTTAGAAATCAAATAGTACCTAGAGGCATATAATTAAGGTGCTTATTGTCCCAGTTTGCCTGAAAGAGTCCCAGTTTATGCCTGTTGCCTTGGCATAGTTATTAACAATATCTCCTTTGACTCTCAGAAGTGTTGTGGTTTGAACAGTAAATTACATGGTTACTCTGCTCATTATAAAAGATAGAGTTCCCTAGCCCACTTCTTCCCATTCCCTTTCCTCAATATTCAGAGACAACCACTTTCTTCTTTTAACCATTTATTTTGGTAGCTAACTTCCATATATCTAAATGGTATCCTGCCCTCTCACTTTATCAATTTTAGACACTTATATTACTTCCTTTTCTTATAGATGCACATTTTGTTGTCTTATGCCCCACCTCCCTTTCCTCTCCACCCCTACCATCTTGCCAAAACAAATATAATCCCCTTTCCTCACCCCTATTCTCTGTCATACCTGGTATTTCCAAATCCTGAGCCTGTCACATTCTGTTTCTTCATCTGGCTTATGCCTGGGCAGTAGATGCCTACCTGCTAACATTCAATGTCGAGGAATCAAGTTGAGGGGACAAATAAACCTGGAAACTACAGAATTTGAGCCAGTTCCCTTGTTTTCTATCCCACATCTCACCTCTCCTCTGCAGTACCTGCCCCGTCCAGGCTCCATATCTCTTTGGGGCCCTGCAGGGCAAAACAGCTTCCCCTACACACACCAAAGTCCTTACCACATCTCCAGCCCCGTTCCTTCTTCAAATGTTGTTAAAATTTCTTGTCTGCTCAAGTCTCTCTTTGTCTTTGCGGGTTTTTATTCTTTTCACTCCGTTTCTGTAATTTTAGAGGCTCTGGGAAGGACGAGGAAATGTTCTACTACCTTTAGCCAAAAGCTTGTCTTTTGATTAAACTGAAAAATTAGCTTTTTTTAAACCAGAAGGATGTACACCAAAATGTTTTCATTTTTGTAAACAAAAACACTTTGTGTTTAAAGAAGAGTTTCATGCCCCAGAAAATTTTTCTCTTCATTCATAACAATTATTAGTGAGGAGAAACAATGAGAGATGGCCATTGAGATGGCAGTGCTCTGCCCTGGACATCTGGGCCAGGCACCTCTGAAGCATGCACAGAAGCTGCTAAGAAGGAAATCCACTGCCATTCAGAGTACTGTGCAGTTATAGGAGGCAGGATTATGTGGGAAATGTCCCTTTAAATTTGTATTCTCCTTAAAATTGGGCTTGATTGTTTGGCACTAGAATAAGTGGAGTGGGGTAGGCAGGTTAATTAAAAGGCCTTGTGAAAAATCTCCGCTTAAGATCCCAATAATTCAGAGTCCTGAGTGCTAACCATTACACCATGGAACCCACTTAGAATTCCAATAATTGAGCCATTTACCTGCAGGATGAAGTCAAGAGAGTCTTTTCAGTTCTTATCTAACTATATACAAAATGCCTATTCTTAATTAAGCAAGGCACAGTTAGGATGTCACCTATTTAAAATGTTTGATTTCGGGCCCTCTCTTTGGCGCCTTCTGTGATTTGAGCATTGAGGGGAGAACCTGAGCTTTCAGCTTTGTGTGGTCCTGTCTTGTTTCATCACCTACCCCTGCCTCCAGTCCCACCAAACTGCCTGCAGTTTCTGGACCTTCTGTTAATTCTCTGAAACCTTCTCAACCCCTACACCCAATTAGTTGCTCTCTTCTATTTACATGCCATTTCATGCATACCTAAAATGAAGCATGCATCTTATTTTCTAGTACGTAGCTTGCATATCTTTCACCCAGTTTGCTCCTTGATAGCCCTGACTGGGATTTACTTATTTATCTTAGGTGCTTAGATAGGCACTTAGTATTTCATTGTATTATAAGTGTGATTCTTTGATATTTGGAAATGATTGTTTTTGATTCTTTAAAGGTGATCCTAGACCTTGAGGAAGAAAGGCAAAGGCATGCACAGGACACAGCTGAAGGGGATGATGTCACCTACATGCTGGAGAAGGAGAGAGAGCGGCTGACTCAACAGGTAATGAACATGGAGGGGTTCGCAGCAGCATTTGCCTAGAAAAGCATTTCTCAAAGATTGTTCTGCAGGGTATAAATTGGTGTTATTTCAAAAAAAGGGCTTTGTGGTCAAATAAGGCTGGGAATTACTAGATTAAACAAAGTGAAACAGGTTTCTAACTTCAGTTTGTTAGATCCTTTAGCAAGCAAAAAGCACATTTTTTTCTTAAGTCTTCAAGAACAAGATAGGGTATCTGTGTTTAGCAAATTCATGTTTTCATAAAATCTTTTTTTGACATGGATCACTCACTTGTGGGACTGTCGTTCCACTGGACACACTTTGGGGTATGCTTACTTCAAGCTCTCAAACTTTTTTTGATTTAGGACTCCCAGTAAGATGTACGTTTTCCATCGCAGCCCAGTATATATGTGCAATAGACATGGACCTAAAACAGAAATCTCATGAAACCACAGATAACCCATACTGCTTGTAATACACATTCATTTTTTAAAATTCTGATCATGGCTCACTAAATTGGTTTCCCCATCCTTTAATGGGTCTCAGAATTTCTAAAACACTGACCAAAAGGGTTTCATCAACCCTCTCCCTCACTCACAGTCTCTGTGCCTTAAATTGGCTTGGAACGATGATTACAATAGACTGCATTTGTACAAAAAGTATGGTTCAAGTGCAACTATTTGTTAGTTTGTTTTTAAGACCAGAAAGAACTATTACCGAGAATCTTAGTTTTGTTTTCAGCAGCATTCATCACAAACCTAGTTGATATGGCTTTCTGTTTTCTGTTTTCATTGGTTCTAATCATCTGAACTCTCCACAGACCTAAAACACAGTGGTGATTCATATTTCATGAATAACCCTGAGATAATATAAGAACTAGAAGTATCTCCTAAATCATCAAAGAAAGATGAAATCATAGTATGTATGTTTTTGTGATGGGTGTTCTGATACTTCAGAAATATTTGATCTAAGCACATGACATGTGGTAATCCTGTGTGCCAGAGAATGGCTAGCCAGGACACTCTACTTGATATTAGTTTTTCACTATATCTCTTTGTTTTCTTACTCTAATCATGATGTATGGTGGCCTTTTTTTTCTAGTTGGAATTTGAAAAGTCCCAAGTGAAAAAGTTTGAAAAAGAGCAGAAGAAGCTCTCGAGTCAGCTGGAAGAGGAGCGCTCCCGCCACAAGCAGCTGTCATCCATGCTGGTGCTCGAGTGCAAGAAAGCCACCAGCAAGGCAGCCGAGGAGGGGCAGAAGGCAGGAGAGCTGAGCCTGAAATTGGAGAAGGAGAAGAGCCGGGTGAGTAAACTAGAGGAAGAGCTGGCAGCTGAGAGGAAGCGAGGCTTGCAGACCGAGGCCCAGGTGGAGAAGCAGTTGTCTGAGTTTGACATCGAGAGAGAGCAACTGAGAGCAAAACTGAACCGAGAAGAGAACCGGACCAAAACTCTGAAAGAAGAGATGGAAAGTTTGAAGAAGACAGTGCAGGATCTCGAGGCTTCTCACCAGTATAGTAGCCCTAATGAGCAATTGAAGAAACTGGTGACGATGTCTAAAGCCACAGCGACTGAGCCCCCCATGCTCGTGTCTGTATTTTGCCAAACAGAGAGTTTTCAGGCAGAAAGAACCCCTGGGAGCAACACAGCCAAGGTGACAACCACTGGGCTGCCTGGTCCCACCACTGCTACTTACTCTTATGCAAAAGCCAATGGCCATTTTGACCCAGAGATACAAACTACCAAGGAATTGATCACAGGCAGCAGTGCAGAAGACCAAGTGCCTCCACGAGAGAAATCTGTGGGACTGGCCCAAGAGAAGGCAGTGGAGAATGGTGGGTGTCCTGTGGGAATTGAGACTCCAGTCTCAGTGCCTAGTCACCTCCCTTCCAGTGGGACCTCACTGTCTCCCAGCAGCACTGCCTCCTCCTCTCTCACATCCTCTCCATGCTCTTCACCAGTACTAACTAAGCGCTTGTTGGGGTCCTCAGCTAGCAGCCCCGGCTACCAGTCATCCTACCAAGTAGGGATCAACCAGAGGTTCCATGCTGCTCGGCATAAATTTCAGTCACAAGCAGATCAGGATCAACAAGCCAGCGGTCTACAGAGTCCTCCATCCAGGGATCTGTCCCCTACCCTCGTGGACAACTCTGCCGCTAAGCAGCTGGCCCGAAATACAGTCACTCAGGTGCTCTCCAGATTCACTAGCCAACAAGGGCCAATCAAGCCCGTCTCTCCTAACAGCTCTCCCTTTGGCACAGACTATCGAAATCTGGCCAACACTGCCAACCCAAGAGGTGACACAGGCCATTCACCTACTCCAGGGAAAGTGTCCAGTCCTCTGAGCCCCCTGTCTCCAGGGATCAAGTCCCCCACCATCCCCAGAGCTGAGAGAGGAAACCCTCCACCCATCCCACCCAAAAAACCTGGTCTCACTCCTTCTCCATCCACTACCACTCCAATGACCAAAACTCATTCCCAGGCATCTTCTTTGACCACCACAGAAGAGCTTGCCAGCAGCTGCTCTTCTAATGCTGTCGTAGCCAATGGCAAGGACGTTGAGATACTCTTGCCTAGCAGCAGCTAGTCCCTAGGAGGGAGCTTCCCTCTACTTTTGACATTCCATCAAATTTTGTCCAAGAGCTCAGAGTCAAACCGTTGAGTCAGATCATCTTATTTATTTTGATAGTAGCTGAAACCATCTGTATAATACATTTAGTTTAGTTCACCTTTTTGTATTTTTTTAAGTAGAAACTGAGTAGTTTGGATTTTTATGACTCACATCTTTGTACTAAAGCTAGAAGGGCACTTCAAAGATGTCTCAAGCTCAGCAGTCACCATCATGTTGTGATGGAGAAAGCTAATTGAGTACCAGGTGGTGATGTGCCATCTGTTTTGGAACTAGAATCACTCAACACTCATTTTGAATTATGCAGAAGTGGTTCATGCAGATTTTTATTCCAGATGAACATGTTTAAAAAGTGCCTGAAATAAGACTGCCATATGAATGTGATTCTGCAGCAAAAACACAAAATGGATTATTTAATTGCAGAAAATGAGATCTTCTGTGAATTCTGAATGTTAAAAACTAACACTGCTTTTAATCATCTTTTACTGTTTTTAATACAAGCTTTGTATTCAGAAACAAAGCTGCATACGTAGAATGGGAATCCTGAAGGTGGGTGTGAACTCAGCACAGAGCTGAGCTTTATAGAGCCCTCGAGAAACCCTGCTGAGCATTAAGCAGTTGGGGTGCTGATTTTCTTGTACTTTTGAAAAATTAAGTCACCCCCAGTTTCCTGCATAAATTCTTGAATAGAATGAAATCACATCTCCATTCAAAAAATGTCTTCAGGCATCTACTGTTGTGTAAGGAACTTCTGATTCCGATTGCTGTTACTTGAATACGAAATGGCTACTCATTCTGTATAAAAGTTTTGCAACAGAATGAGATCTTTATTATGTAATCAAAAAGCAATAACTTAAAATTCAGTTTCTTTATAATATTATAAGTCAGAATTATACAGGTTTTACTAAATTGTTATACTTACTCTCCAAGCTGCCAGCCCTTGGTGTCTGTATCTGTGGAACCAAATTAACTTTTGCCTAAATGGAAGTACACATATATCTGTATAGATACACACCCCTTTACGTGTTTAACACACACACTTAAACACATAAATATTAGTGTGATTGTATCTTTGGAGTTTGCAATATAGCATAAAAGACGAGCAGAAATGCACCTTAAGATTACCTACCAAAGCAACTAGATGTGGCTGGGATCTAATCAGTCAAGGAAGTAATTGTGTCCACAGGGAGGTGGGGAAATTCCAAATAAAGTCAGGTCTTCAGCATCATAAAAAGGCAGAGCCAAACTAACCCAGTGTCACAGAACTCAACTGGTCATATGAGTGAAATAGGTCACTCAGTCAAATGGTGTAAGACAGCTGGGGGTAGTGGAAGCTGTAGCAAACTGAAGTGCCCAAGCCCCGTTTAAAAGGGCACCCCTGTTCAACTCCTGGGGCTTGTTGCCATGCAATAATGCCAGACCAGGGTTACCAGCTCCTCAAATTTTTATGAAATCCAAATTTTCATGAGAAACATTTTCATTTTTAAATATCAAAACTGATTCAAAATTTTAAACACTGCTGGTTAAACATTTCTGCAGCCAGATGTAGCTCACAAGCTGCCAAGTTGCAACCTCTATTTCCAGAAACTTCTGTCATTTCCATCATATCGAGTTTGTGAGGACAAAAGCCTCCACTCTTTCCAACTTGTAGGCTAGTACAGCTGACAAAGTCCATGGACTATAATGACTATCCCCCTCTTCCAAAAAGGACTGCAGCCCAGCTCGGACATGGTGGTTGTATGACTGTGTCCACAGGGATGGAGAGGCCTTGGTGTCCTCACATACATTCTTCTAGCCAACATCTCTCCTAGCAGCCCCTGACCTCCTGCTATAATTTAAATCGATTTTCTCTTAATCTAATCTGAGTTGATGAGAGAAAGGCAGGTGATGGAAATCACTGTATAAATCACAATGGAGTATATTAGTGTCGCCACAGCTTATGGTTTCACTAAGGCCAATACATCAAAAATTAAAATACTACTAATGCCCCAGGGTGTCTACCAAATGATGAAGGGGGTGTCTTATAAACTGCCCAAAGCAATCATGCATTAAACTTTATTCCCATGCATAGCCAAATGAACAGTGTTAATGATAAAATAGCTGAACTTTCTAAACAGGGGAGTGGGCTATAGTCCCAGAGCATTCTTACCTCTCTTGCTTTAAATGGTAATCTTAAAAGTTGCATTGTGCTCTTCCTTTGTTTTGGCATAGATATATATAGAGAGAGATACTATAAGGAAGTTTATTTCTTAGGAAGTGCACTGAATAATGTAATTCTTTTACAGTGTAATATGGGGGTGGGGAAATGCAAAAGAAATGTGTATTTTTGCTAGTTGCCTATCTTCTGAGATAAATAAGCACAATACTGCAATGGATCCAATAATCCAGTTAGGTATTATAGATTAGTATTTAAGTTTGCTGTAGATTGTGTGTGTGCAAAGTAAAAGTTCCATGATTCACAGTTTTGGTATTAACCCATGTTGCGAAATCTATGCTACTGGTCAACAGATTATAATGATGTGCAACACATAACACAAGCATTAACTAGTCATTAACATTTGTAAAGCCAAATGTACCATGCAGAAGTCTTCATCCATTTTTATAGCAGACGACATTAAAACAAGTTAAGTCATACTGTTTAGGGGGAAAATAGTCTTGTTTGTACAAAGTAAAGAATGTTGCACAACAGGGCGTGTTTTGCTGGGGAAGGAGCAGGTGGTGTCGAGGAAGCACTCGTTCGTGGCTTTAAAATACCAAGTGAAGTCAGTGACCTATCCAGGTCAGACCCCAAAAGGAGCTGGGACAATGGTTTTCTTTAGAGCTGGAAGAAGCCTTTGCAATAATCCAGTCTGTACTTTTTAAACCATTTGGAGGTTCTGGACCTTTTCAGAATCTAAGAAAGGCTAGACTCCATCCCCAGAAAAATGGACATGCTTATGTGCAAAACTTGGTTGATGGCTTCACAGGATCCAAAGACCCTGAAGCCATCCATGATTCATGTACTCTAGCTGAAGAATGCCTGATCTTGTCCTGCCCTCTAATTTTACAAATGACTAATGCATCCCGTGTCTCCTAGTCCAGTGCGGGCGCTGCAACACTGTTAGCAAATGCAAACTGTAGCCAGACAAAAGCACGTGAAAATCCTTTGTTGTACAAAAGTGTTAAAACAGTGTTAACAGTGTGGATGTTTACATATCTTAATTTTCCAGCATTTAAGCCAATTAATGATCATTTCAACAACACTGAATGTAGCCATTTTCCCATAACAACCTCACTGTCAGCAATGCTGCCTTGTCAATTTGAGTGTATATATATAATTTATAAAGCTCATCTGATGCCTAGTCCTTGAAACAGAACTTCAAATATCTTTTGAAATGCTGGCTTCAAAATAGGATATGTTTTCATAATCATGAGTCAGAGATAGGCAATGAGCAGTGTTCCACAGGAGTAATTTTAATTTAATTGCGATAAAACTAGTTGAGAAGATTTGAGAGCCTGTCTGCCCACTGCTCGTGGTAGAAGCAGAGGAGGAGAAAGGAGACCGGAATAGTGGCTCTCGAACTTTATTGTGCTTAAGTATAACCTGGGAAGCCTGCTCAAAAGATTCCTAGGGGTTGGGCCTAGGGGTTTGCTGATGCAGGTGTCTGAGGATCACATTTGAAAACTAGTTCCTCATAGCCATCACCTGTTCTTTTTCAAGCACTTATTTGCCCCTGACCTAAGGAGATGTCTTAAGCTCCTGAATCTGGTTTACCATAGTGTCAGTGACATTCAGAGTCCAGAGCGCCTACGTGGGTTCCACGCACCATGTTAATTATTTCACATGGCATATCACCTTACTAATGACAAGGGTGCTGTGAGGTATTAGTGTCCCCAGTGTGCAGATGAAGACCAGAGATTTGCACACAGGCCCTTAGGATGTGACAGAGCTTTAACCCCCCGTGCTCTGCTCTTCCCCGTGCTCTGCTCTTTCTGCTACCTGTGTTTCCCAAGTGAGAATCTCCTGAGGCACCTGTTACCCTATTCCCAGGCATACCGAGGTGCGCTCTAGATAAGCGCCTGGGCTGATTCTTAAGATGGAGCAGGATTAAACCCCACAGGACACCACAGTGCTGTTCCCACTCACCCTAAAAACCCCCACCCCCAGAAGTGGATGTCAGACGTAACCAATGCCAGGGGACCCTTATCCAGTCAGACAAAATGAAGAAAAACTAATCTTTCTTATTCCCCTCAAGCAACAGATGTTTCTTAAATATTTTAGATGAGCCAGAAACCAAGGTAGCTATTATAGAAAACACAAGTTTAAGCATGTTCCTTGTCCTCGGGGTACTCACAGTCTAGTCAGGGGAAGCAAAAGAACACATAAAAAGTTAACAGAGGGGGGGCTGGCCCCGTGGCCGAGTGGTTAAGTTCGCACGCTCCGCTGCAGGTGGCCCAGTGTTTCGTTGGTTCGAATCCTGGGCGCGGACATGGCACTGCTCATCAAGCCACGCAGGGGCAGCGTCCCACATGCCACAACTAGAAGGACCCACAACGAAGAATATACAACTATGTACGGGGGGGCTTTGGGGAGCAAAAGGAAAAAATAAAATCTTTAAAAAAAAAAAAAAAGGGGGCATAAACTAGCCTTCTATTTAAAAAAAAAAAAAGTTAACAGAGGGGCATAATGGTGAAGTTCACACACTGCTCATCCAGCCATGCTCTGGCAGTGTCCCACATATAAAACAGAGGAAGACTGGCGCGGGTATCAGCTCAGGGACAATCCTCCACAAGCAAAAAGGAAGATTGGCCACAGATATTACCTCAGGGCCACTCTTCCTCACCAAAAAAAAAGACCAGAGACAACTGAACAGCAAGTGGGGTACAAATGCCATATAGGGTTATTGAATGTGGTCCTGGCAAAAGCACTATGGCAGCACAGAAGTGACAGAGCTCTCTATGGGAAGGAAAAAGTTAACTAGAAAAGAAGCAAATGTCTTTTCTCCTCTCTCCAAAGCACTGTTTACCTGGAGTTCTGCAGTATCTCCCCGTGTTTGCCTTATGTTGCAGTTGGCTTGTCTTGGTCTTAGGATGAGGTCAGAGACAGGCACCCAAGAGCTGAGTCCTGTTAAAGGGAGACTGACAGACACCAATGTCGCGTGCTCTCTCCATGGGCTTGGGCTGGTAGAAGAAGGAGCTCCCAGGTCACAGCACTCTGCAAAACACTCTCAAGTAATTTGTAGGGAAGACCTGGGAAAAAGCAAGGTGAGAAAGGACCTTGTTGCCAAAATACTGCATCACCCATAAATGTCCCCTCCTGCCCTCTAGATCTCTATAAGCAAAAGAGAAATGAAGATCAAGCTTTGAAAAGAATCCAATAGGTCCTTCAGGGACACCTACAAGTGACTTTTTTCCTGGGAGGGATGTAAAAGCAGCGTCTCTTCTCCCAGCAGTGTGAATGTTTGTGCTGCTGTTAGACTGGGGGAGCACAGCAGTATCCTGTGGCCTGTCCACGCCACCGTGAAACTGAGTTCTGAGAAATTACTGGTCGTGCTGCAACAAGACTGGCCTTTAGCCCTGGGGAGGCACCTACTTGATTTGACAAGAGTTCTGCTCACTAACTCAACGTGGTAGACGCTCAGGTCCCCTTCAGGAAGGAAGGATTTATTTCCCTAGCTTTAGGGAATGCTGATGGCTGTAAGCCCCCTATAGGAATTGCCGTAACTGAAAGAAATCATAAGCAGTTCATACCCAAAGACTAGTAGGTGTGGAGTATAAACACCCAGCCCTTGTCCGAAATCAAGAGAACTCTGAAGGGTCATCTCAGCTCCAGACCCCCTACAGGGCTGACTGAGTCCTCTGGAGACTACAGCTCAACTTCCCCTCCCCCTTCTCTCCTTCACGTGCATCCCAAGGGTACTCCCCGGTAAGCCGCCTGCACCCTAATCTCCATCTCGGACTCTATTCTGTTCCTTTTGGTCATAAATAAGTTCTCTAAAGGAGGGCAGAACATTTTCCGAGTATTTTATTTGGTGCCCACATATTTTATGTTACTTCATTTAGTCAACACAACTATTAAGAAAAAAGCAGGTTATTCCTACTTGACCCATAAGGTAATTAAGACCTACTGAGGTACAGTAAATTGTTCAAGGTCCTACAGTAAAGCAGGGCTGAGATTCAGTGCCATAGTTTGGATTCAAACCTGCATTTGGCCTTCAAGTCCACTCTCCTTCCACCGACCACACTACAGTCAAAATAGTAATACATTTGGGGAGTTTAGAATATTAGCTTATTGTCAGTCATATATCTAAGTATGAATCCACTAGTTAGCAGCTTTCTTTTGAGATTTCAGCTAGGAACAGGCCACAGAAGGAATGAATGGGGATTTTGGTGAAGAGAGAGGAGAGGGAAGGTTTGCCTACACAGTCATCAAACGTGGGAGCTAGAAGGAAGCTTAGAGCTTCCCTCATATTACAGATGAGGAGAATGAGGCCCAGAAAGGCCAGGTGACTGCTCAAGCTTACATGGCTAGTTCATGGCAGAGCTCAGAGTATAAAGTCAGTCTGGCTCCCTCATTTGGCCTCAGCCGACTGCTCCTCCCTGAGCTGACCTGGGACCAGGAATTCCTAGCCCAGCCCTGGCTGCTCCCTCGGGCACTCCTTCCTCCTCTCACCTGCTTCTCTACAATACCTGGGCTTTGATCTTGTTCACCTGAGCTGCCCCTTATTCAGGACTTGCCCTCTGTCCACTGGCCTAGGGCTGCTTGGCACGCTTGTTGCCACAAAAATCCTGTCCTCATGTCTCTGAACCGGTTTCACAGCTGAGATGAGGCTGGGAGTGAGGAAGGTGGTGGAGCTTCTACTGCCAGGCTGTACATCCCTCTGTCTAGCATCAGCTCTGGGAAGCACTTATAAGGCATGCCTTGCTCCTCAGGTATGGACAGAAAGCCAGTGAAGCCATGAGCATCTCTCCCCTCCCTGTTTGTGAGTCTGATCTCCCACACTGCCTGTGGAGGAGGGGGCAGCTGAGTGCTTGGTGAGAGAGTCCCCGCCTTGTCCTGGTCCTCCTTCCCCACCTGAACTCAAACACACAGCTCTCCCAGGAAGGGCCTTTTGCATTCTCAAAAGACTTACCCATCTCCCTTCTCTGGGGTTAGTGCCCACCCTCCTGCTCCCCCATGCCCCGTTCCCCCTGCTCCCCCAGCCTGCTCAAGCCAAATCAAAGCCTTCCAGGACTGTTTGGGCATCAGAGCAGACAGGGTGTCCTCAGGGTGGTAGGGTGATTTGGGGCTGGTGACCACAGCATACAGGCCCCTTCTTCATCCCCAGCTTGTTTTCCCTCTCCTGAGTCCTGGTGAGTCAGCACCACAGGGCCACACACAAGGCTCCTATTCAGGGCTCATTTTCCTTCTGCTCTAACTCAGATCTTGGCATCTCTCTCTCTCTCATTCTCTATGTGGGCCTTATTCTCACCATGGGAAAGCTCTGCTCCCTGCCCTGTACCTCCTCACTTTCCCCCAGTACGTCCCTCCCACCACACACACACACACACACATACACACACACACACACACACACACACACACACACGCCCGCATTCCTCCTGCTTACCTTCTGCGAGTTTGCAGTCCCAGCTGAATACAAACATAAAGGAGGGAGAACAAAATAGAAATGTTAAACTATTAAATCCTCATTCACATATTTTCAACGGGTGTTCGTTGCTACTGACTCAGTGACGGCCCTGAGCTATGTTGAGGACACAAACAGGCACACACGCACATGCACACACATGCTGTGCCTGCCCGTTATTTATTCAGTGTGCTTATTAAGCACGGGCTCTGTGTCAAGCCTCACACTAAGGGCTGGAATTTCCATTCTAATGGGGAAACAAGTCTTGTAGATCAGACATCTCAGGGCAGTGCTGGGTAGGATGCAGCTGGTGCCCCATATAGGTGCTAGGGCCCCAACTGCCTAACAAGTTCAGCAGAGCAGGGAAATCTGTGGGTCTGGAAGCACTGGATTTTAAATAAACAGAAGGGAGAAGGATACCTGTTTACGTTTATAGGGGTATGTGTACCCTCTGCCTAGTAGGACATGGGGATGCAAAAGCAGGACGAGCAGGAAAAGCAGTTCTGAACGAGAGCTTTATCATTCTCTGTGTAGCCCCCGGCAAGTCAGTTAACCTCTGCTAGCCTCATTTCAGCATCAGTAAAATGAAGATATGAGAACCTCCTTCCTGGGGGTTTGTGAAGATCAAATGAGATAAAGCAGGCAAGTGCCGGGCACATAGTGAGTACTCGGCGGATTGTTTGTTGCCTCTGTGGAAAGGCGCTGGCGGGTGAAAGGGCGGCCCCGGGGCTGTGCGTCCAGGTGGGAAGCCCAGTGGTTCCGACGCGCCGCCCTTTACCGGAAAGCTGAATTGCTCGCGCCCCCTGGCGTTTCAGTCGCGGTGATTGTCCCTGGACCAAGTTCTGGCCGCACACCCACCTCCTTGGGAAAGGACCGGGAACGCAGTCAGGAAGGGACCCACTGCAGACACGCTGGCGTGGGCAGGGGTGCTCCCCACCCCAGACCTGTGCTCAACCGCTTCCCTGATGGCCAAGTCGGGAGCACCAACCCCAGCCCCTGCCTAAGACACGGGTGGAGGCTCAAACTTGTTTTAAAAGGTGAGAGAATAACAGAAACCACCTCACAGGAGTGTTGTGAGCCTTAAATGGTGAAATCTAAGACTGCAGACTAGTTAGGGCATAAGTAAGCAGTCGGCAAGGTGTTCATATTATGTAGCTCCTAGAACGTGACCAACACATAGTAGGTGCTCGATAGCTATCTGTTAAACAAGGGTCAGGATGACTCTGTCAACATTTATTTATTTATTCATTCGTCCATTTAATTATGCTTCAAAAATGTCTTGCTCTTACTATACTGTTGATGATATAAAAAAATAAACTCTTAATAAGCCAAGTAAGTAAGTAAGAGCCAGCACTCTGTAGGAGAAAAACAAAGAGATTTCATCCATTCAAACATCCATCCTGCAGCTCTTACTAGGTGCCACTTACTGACTTGGGCACTGAGATAGAGAAATAAGTAAGTTACAGGTCCTTAGGGGCTTTAGATGCTGGTGAAAGAGACAAACACGAAACACGGTATTACATGGAGTATAATAAAAGTAGGAACAAGCTGTGGGAACACAATTAATCCCCTGTGGAATCAGGAATGATCTCACAGAGGAAATGATACTTGACCTGGTCTTGAAGGAGGGGCAGATGCTCCCAGGTGACGAAGAGGATGAAAAGGCATTCATGGGAACGAGAACATATGCAATGCACCGAGTTGCCAACAGGCATGGTGAGAAGTCTGGGGGGCGGAAAGTGGATCTGGAGAAGTAAATGGGAACACGAAAAGGCATGGTCTGCCCTGAGAAAGAGTTTGGACTCTATTTGGTGAGCCACTGGGAGCCTGAATCAAGGAGGTTTCATGTGCAGAGGCAGATTTACGATGGAGCCAATGAAGTTTAAGCTTCAAGGGCCTTCACTGGCACAGCCCCTTCCAAGCCCGGAAGGGCCCAAGCAAAGTGTTCATATAGTCATGTTTTTATAAACTTTGCAAAAGTAAGGTATCTTAATTGCGATCAGTTAAGACTGCCGTCTCTGTTTACTCTGACTTCTCCGATATCACAGTTTCCCCCCTGTTGGGTGGCCTAGGAGTGGTGGCCACAAGCATTTTTGGAATTCAGCTAAAGGTAAGTGGAATAGGGGACTATTTTTGAGTGAAATATATTTGTGTGGTTTACAGTCACTTCCATGTATAGTTGAGGTTTTGCAGCCATCCCAGTCTAGGAATGTCTTCCAGGAATGTGCCTATCAGTCATCATGCTGTCTCACCTTGCATAATGACATGAAGGAGCAGCACCAAAGGTTGTATTTTTATAAATATATCCTATAGCACTGCACACTAAAAGTAAAGTGGTAAGTGGAGGAGAAACAAGATTTTAAATGTGTGGAGCCAGAGGCTGGTCTCTGGAACATTCTTCCAGTTATCAGATGTGTAAAATTGTAAGTGGGTGATTAATTTCTCATCAATGCCTAGTCAAAACAAAATTTTTCTCTTGTCAGGAAAATACTCAATAATGCAGTGTACACCATTATAAATGCACTATATGTATGAAGATATAATCAAAAAGTATGGAGTCAAAGATATGTTTTTTAAAATTTTAGAGAATTCTGATTCTTGCAATTCAAAATGGAATAACAGGGACAGGATTTATTCTTCCACCTAAAACAACTAAACACTGAGCAAAATATGTTAAACAACAATTTTCAAGACATTGGTCATCTGGCAACAAAGGACAGAGATGGGAAACAAATGAAATGAGTCCTATGATTGCCCTAGCAGTAAGGGTGAATCAAGGCATAGCCTGACAATCTCCTCAAGTTGAGAGATGAAGCTGGAGTTGGGAGGGAAGAGTACTGGAGATGAATGCTGCAGTGAGAGAGACCTCCAGAGATCTTCGGAGGCTTCCCCTGGGGTCTTCAGCTGAGTACTAATTCACATACACATGTGAGGAAACTACCCAAGCCAATGAGAGAACCACCCAAAAGGTTTAGAAGGGACAATACTCAGGGTTCACATGGCACTGGGAATAGTTTCTGTTCTCACTAGCCAGAATGACAAATCTCATAATTCATGGGACATTGGATGGGATGAAGTACTCAGAAGGGTTTTGTCTCTATAGCGGGTCAAAATTAGCCTTAGGCTAAATGTTGCTCTGCACCCACCTAAAAAACGTTTAAAAGCAAGACTCAAAAGGGTCAAACTATTTACAAATAATTGCATCCCAGAACAAAGCTCAAGAATTTGCATAGGAAAACAAAAGTATCCACACTCAAAAAGTTAAAATTCACAATGTCTAGCATCCAATCAAAAATTACCAGGCATACAAAGAAGCAGAAAAATATGGTCCATAATTAGGAGAAAAATCAATCAATTGAAAATTAGCCAAAAATGACACAATGGTAGAATTAATAGACAATTATATTAAAATAGCTATTATAACTATATTCCATATGTTCAAGGAGATAGAGGAAAGATTGAGTGTGTTAATTAGAGACATGAAATATACAGAAAAGACCCAAATCAAACTTGTAGAGATGAAAACCACACTATCTGAGATGAAAAAGAACATTGGATGGTATTAACAGCAGATTATACACTATGGAAGAAATGATTGTTAAACTTGAACAAATAACAATAAAAACTATCCATAATGAAACATAGAACATAAAAAAAGATTTTTAACAATGAACAGAACATCAGTGAGCTTTGGGACAAATTCAAATGATCTAATATATTTAATTAGAGTCTCTAAAGGAAAATATTTTGAACAAATAATGGCCAAATCTTTCCAAATTTTATGAAAATAAAAAACCCACAGATTCAAAAATGTCAATGAGCCCTAAGCATGACAAACATGAAGGGAACCACACCAAAGAGTATCATAATTAAATTGCTTAAAACCAGAGATAGAAAGGAAACCTTCAAAAAAAAAAACAGAAGGAGAAAACCATATTATATACAGATGAACAGGGATAAAAATAACAGCAGACTTTTCATTGGTAACAATACAATCCTGCAGGCAGTGGAGCAATAGCTTTAGAGGACTGAGGAAAAAACTGTCAACGTATACCTAGTTAATTCTATACCTAGTGAAAATACCTTTCAAAAACAAATGCAAAATAAAGATTTTCCTCAAACACACACAAGCTGAAAGAACTCATCACCAGAAGTCTTGCAATACAAGAAATATTAAAGGAAGTACTTCAGGCAAAAGGAAAATGATATCAGAAATCTGTATCTACACAAAGGAATGAAGAGCACTAGAAATGGTAACTATATGGGTAAACATAAAAGATTATTTTTCGTATTCTTTAAATCTCTTTAAAAGTTCATCACAATGTATTGTGGGATTTATAACATGTAGAAGTAAAGTGTATGACAATAATAGCACAAAGGCTGAGAGAGGAGAAATTCGTGTTCTATACGTGAATCTATACTGTAATTGAATATGAATCTATATGATTGCATATGAATCTATACATAATTCTATACTATACATGGATCAGTATATTATATGAAGCTAAACTATGATAAATTAAAGATTTATACTGTAAGCCCTAAAACAACTACCAAAAAAAACAAAACAAAACAAAGCTCATAAGGCAACAAAGGAGATAAAAATGGAATCATAAAAAATAATCCAAAACAAAGAAAAAGAGGAAAAGGAAAGCAAAGAAGAGATAATAGAAAAATAGATTGTTGATTGAAAATCAACCATCTCAATAATCAGTTAAAATGTAAATGGTCTAAATAACCCAATTAAAGGCAGACAGTGTCAGATTGTAATAAAAAGCAAGACTCAAATATATGCTGCCTACATAAAAATGACTTTAATTATAAAGACACAAATAAAGTAAATTGCTATAGAATACTCCAACCAAATGCAGCTGAAGGCATATGTTTGAGTGCACACATAACATTCACCACGATAGACCATTAAAATGTCTCAATAAATTTAAAAGGATTTAAATCATACAAATAATGTTCTCTGACTACAATGGAATTAAATTAGAAATCAATAACAGAAAGGTCTCTGGAGAATCCCCAAATATTTGGAAAATAACACACTCCTAAATAACCCATGAGTCAGTGAAGAAATCAAAGGGGAAATTAGAAAATATTTTGATATGAATGAAAATAAAAACACAACACATCGATATTTGTGTTTTATCAATACAAGTATCAACAAATAAAGGAGGACTTCGAGGGAAATTTATAACACTAAATGTCTATATTAAAAAAGAAGAAAAGATTCAAGTCAATTAAGAAAATAGGAGAAAGTAAGTAGAAGAAAGGAAATTATAAAGATCAGAATAGAAATCAATGAAACGGAAAACAAAAACAATAGAGAAAAATCATTGAAACCAAAAGCTCGTTCTTTAAGATTAATAAAATTGACCAACTTCTAGCCAGAATGATCAGGAATAAAAGAGAAAACATTCAAATGGCCAATATCAGGAAGGAGAGGTGCCATCACTACAGATTGTACAGATATTAAAAGGATAATAAGGAAATATTATGAACAATTTTATGCCAATAAATGCAACAACTTATATGAAATGGACAAATTCCTTGAAAGAAGCAAACTAGGAAAGCTCGCTCAAAAAGAAATAGGTAAGCTGAACAGTCCTGCACTATTAAAGAAACTGACTTCTTAGTTTAAAACTTTCCCACAAAGGATACTCTAAGCCGAGATTGTTTCATTGGTGAATCCCACAAACATTTAAAGAAAATAAAATACTAATTCTACACAAACACTTCCAGAATACAGAAGAGGTTAGAACACTTTCTAACTCATTCTATAAGACCAAGCAGTAACATGACAAGAAAAGAAAGCTACGAACCAACATCCCTCATGAACAAAGATGCAAAAGATCGTAGCAAAATTTTATCCAGTCAAATCCAATAAATATAAAAAGATAATACATAACGACCAACTGGGACTTATGTCAGGAATGCAAAGTTGGTTTAACATTTGAAAGCCAATCAATGTAATTCATCAATTAACAATTCAAAAAAGAAAAACTATATAATCATGTCAATTATTCCCAAGTGATGCAATTCTAGAGACTGGAGAATTAATTCTACCAATGAAAGAATTTCCTGGTCAACATCACTGAAGACTACTTAAAAATTTCATCCCACAACTAGAAGGACGTGCAACTAAGATATACAACTGTGTACGGCAAGGGGGAGAGGGGTGTTGGGGAGATAAAAGCAGAAAAAAAAATTCAAAGGCTTATGAGCCCAAGTTTGTTGCTACGTCACCATATTTACTGAATATAGTTTCTGGGAAAGTAACTTTAATAGTTTACTCTCAGCACCAGCCCGATGGCATAGTGGTTAAGTTCCAATGCTCTGCTTTGGCAGTCTGGGGTTCATGGGTTCAGATCCTAGGGGTGGACCTATACGCCACTCAAGCCATGCTGTGGCAGCATCCCACATACAAAAATACAGGAAGATTGCCACAGATGTTAGCTCAGGGACAACCTTCCTTACAAAAATACTAATAATAATAAAAAAAATAAAGTTTACTTTTGGGGAAAAAAAGGATTTTCAGAATGTGGCTATTGTAATTATCCATTAAATCTAATGTCTGATGCCATTGCTTAATCTTTAAATATAATCATGTCCCAGCACTTGGTTTTGAGGAAAATAAATGCAGATTTTTCAGTGAAAAAAATAGATTCAGAAAAAGCATTTGACAAAATCCAAAATCCACTTCAGATATAAACTCAGCAAACCAGGAAGAAAAAGGAACTTCCTCAACTTCAGTGGACATCAAGGAAAAACGTACAGCTTACATCTTACATGCTTTCTCTTAAGATTAGGAATAAGGCAATAATACCCACGTTCCCCACTTTCTGTTCAAACATTATACTGTAGTTAACCAGTGCAGTAAAGCAAGAAAAATAAATACAAGATGTCAAGATTGGAAAGAGAGAAGTAAAACTGTTTTTATTTGCAGACAACATAATTTTCTAAGTAGAAAATCTAGTGGATTCTATTTTATAAAAAAAGCTACTAGAACTAATAGAACTAATGAGTTTAGCAAGATTGCAGAATAGAAGATCAATATTCTTTGTGCTAGCTATGGAAATAGAAACTAACAAACAATATCACTTATAATAGCATCAAAATTATGAAATATTTGAGGATAAATCTGACAAAAGATGTGCAAGACTTGTATACTGAGAACTACAAAACATTGCTGAGAGAAATTGAAGAAGACCTAAATAAATGGAGAGAGACACTGTGTTCATGGATCAGAAGACAATATTGTTTGGATGTCAACTCTCCCTGAATTAATCAATAGATTCAATGCAATCCAAATCAAAATCTCAACAGGGTTTTTTTCTTAGAAATTCACAATTCTAAAATTTTTACAGGCATGCAAAGAACCTAACATAATCAAAACAACTTTGAATAATAAGAACAAAACTGGAAAATGTCACTGCCTGATTCCAAGACTTCTTATAAAACTACAGTAAACAAGACAGTGTGGCACCGGAATAAAAAGAAAACAGATCAGTGGAACAGAACAGAGAGTCTAGAAATAGACCCTCAGATATGTGATCAGGTTATTGTTTACAAAGGTGCAAAAGCAATTCAATGAGGAAAGAATAGTTTTTTCAACAAACAGTGCTGGAACAATTGGATATCCATATGTAAAAACTAAACTTTGGTCCATACCTCACACCATTTACAAAAATTAACGCCAAGGTATATTTTACACCTAAATGTCAAACCTAAAACTATAGAGCTAGGAGATATAAAACATAAGAGAACATCTTTGTAACCTTGGGTTAGGCAAAGATTTCTTAATATGATGCCAAAAGCTCTATCCATAAAGAACAAATTGATGAGTTGGATTTTAGCAAAACTAGAAGCTTCTGCTTTTTGAAGGACACTATAAAGAGAATAGAAAGATAAGTCATTGACTAGGAAAATATATTTTCAAATCACATGTCTATGAAAGGACTTATATCCAAAATGTATAAAGAACTCCAAAACTCAATGGTAAGAAAAAAAACAACGCAATAAAAATGGGGAAAATATTTTACTAGAAACTTCAAAGAAGGTATATAAGAGGCAAATAAATAAATTAAAATATGTTCAGCATCATTAGTCTTTAGGGAAATACAACTTAAAAACACAATAAGATACCACTACACACCTATTAGAATGACTAAAATTAAAGTGACTTTCCATACTAAGTGTTGATGAGGATGTAGACCAACTGGAACCGCTCACAGGAGTATAAATGGTATGACCACTTTGGAAAATAGTTTGGTAATTTCTTTAAGAATTAAACATAGACCTACCCACCATATGATTCAGCCATCCCACTCCTAGGTATTCACCTCAAAGAAATGAAAGTATATGTCTGTACAAAGATTGTAAAATAATCTTTTATGTGTAATAAACAAAAACTAGAAACTACCGAAATAAATATCAACAAGTGAATAGATAAAATATGGTCTATCCATACAATGGAATACTACTCAGCAACAAAAATAGAATGAGCTATCAAAAATGCAACAACATGAATGAAACTCAAAATAATTATATTGAATGAAAGAAGACAGGTTAAAAAACAAAGAGAGAGAAAGCAAGTGGAAACAGGGTGCTGAGAGCCAAAGGAGGGGACTTTTTGAAGAAGCATAGGGCTTTGGCAGTGTCATAAACTACAGAAAGATCAATCAAGGCAAATATAGAATGAAAATAGGCCACTAAATCCAGCAATTAGGAGGCATTTTGTGACGGCACTGAGAACAATTCCAAATATACTTTTGGGTACTGAAACCAGATTATAGCAGATTAAGAAATAAATAGAAGTTAAGAAAATTAAGATGGAAAAGTGTAAAGTTCTCTTTAATGGAGAGTGTAGACTGTATTTTCAAGAAGTGTAGAGGTTAAGGAAGGACAAGGGGAACTAGCTTTAAAAGAAAGTTGAAAAAAATAGTTTACTTTTAGATCAGGAGTACGTGGTTAATGGACAGAGAAATGTTGAAAATTCAGAGAAGTTGGCTCATTATATGGAAAAAAGTAAAGTCAGACCTTGAACCATATGCAAAATCCAAGCTAGATGGAATAAAAACTTAAGTATAAAATATAAAGCTAGTTGAAGAAAACATAAGGGAATACTTTTGTGATCCTTGGATAGGGAAGACTTCTCAAATAAAACCCAAGAAATACAAAACTATGAGGCAAAAATTGATAGGTATGACTACAACGAAATTAAGGATTTCTATTCAATAAGGAACACAATAGATAAAATTAATGGACAGTTGCACTCAGAGGAGACAAATGCAACATCTAAAACTGTCACAGAGATATTAAAATAGGCAAGGAACTTCTGCAAATCAATAAGAAGCCTGGATGTCTAATAGAAAAATGGGGGGCTGGCCCCGTGGCCGAGTGGTTAAGTCCACGCGCTCTGCTTCGGCGGCCCAGGGTTTCGCCGGTTTGGATCCTAGGTAAGGACATGGCACCGCTCATCAAGCCATGCTGAGGTGGCGTCCCACATGCCACAACTAGAGGGACCCACAACTAAAAATATACAACTATGTACCAGGGGGCTTTGGGAGAAAAAGGAAAAATAAAATCTTTTAAAAAAAGAAAAATGGACAACTCACAGAAAAGAAACCCCAATTATGCAGAGACAGTCAAACTCACTGATAATCAAATGCATGTACATTAAAACAACTTTATGGAATAACCAATATCAAAAAGTTGAAAAATGCCAAATGTCAAGAACGAGAGAAAAAGGAAACACTCATTCACTGCTGGGAGAGTGTAAGCTGTAGTGTAATTAAGCATGTCTGCATCCTGAAACCCAGCAATCCTAGATAAATTTGCACACTTGAAGGTCATGTATAAAAATATTTTGGGAGGCATTCATTGTGATAGCATGGGTTCAAGGTACCTAGATGTTCATTACCAGGAGAATGGAAAGAAAAATACTATAAATATTCATTATGGAATAAAATGCAATGC